CGGCTTTTCAGGCCAATGAAGAGCTTTGATCCTGGTGGAAAGCCGCAAAGCCTTAAACCCCAAATCCCTAGAACACCCACTTCAAGCCGGTATCCGAATTCGCCTAAATCCAGGCCACCCTACACTCTACATGAATCCTAAACCAGCACCCTGCCAAAACATCTCACTCGAAGCCACAAGCCNNATCCCTGAATCCTGAATGACAAAACAAATGGCCCACACATTCAGAGCTTGAAGGGTCCCCCGAGCAAATGGCAACAGCAAGATGCCGTATACCTAAAAGCCAAAACCCCAAAGCCCTAAACCCCTACTACCTAACCCCAAAACCCCCAAAGCCCAAGACGCAGAAACCCTGCTCACCCAATCCTTGCCTGCTAAGGACAAGACGAAGGCCTTCGGTATCGACTCTGCCAACGTCTTCGGCTTCTGGGATTGGGTGGGTGCCCTGACAGCACTTGGAGCTTGGAGGGGCAGTGTGGGGGGTCGGGGCAGGGTTTGGCTTTAGAGTTCTGAACATGGTGAAGGGGTAAGGGTTCGGGGTTTGCCGCGTTCCCATGCTTCAACACTTAGCTTTCCTTCGTTTGTAGACATCACGCTGGGTGGGTTTTTTTTGTTATATCTTATGTGGTGCGTCGCGTGTTGTTGGCGTAAATTCTTGTTGCAACGCAAAAGTACAAGATCGTAGCCTAATATCCGAACACTGGGTTCGCAACAACAAGGATGGGGAAAGTAATTTGCTTAGCCATTAGCCCACTGCGCAGTTTGGAAAGCTACCCAATCAATTTGAAAAGGGCGCTGATGATCAAGCCTCCTGCACAGCAGTCATTATACAGCTCACTGGGCCATGCTAATTTCGAAAGGTCATGTCACGTGGAATTTGCAGAAACCTACACCAAGGATTGAGGTTTAAGTACAAGTGCCGCAGTAGATACAGATGTAGTCCCCTCTCCGGTCAAAGAGCTTCCCGTGGCTATAGTTAGTGTAAGTATGACATGTTTGTTTGTTCGACAACACACCCCACGAGAAGGCCCGAATGTCCCTAAACCCTAAACCCTAAACCCTAAACCCTAAACCCTAAACCCTAACCCCTACCCTAGAAGCCCCTCAACTCCAAGCTCCTGCTAGGCGGTCGCTTTTCCGTTTGCAGCGCGGTGGGTGTCGTGCCGCTCGCGTTGCAGTGCCCTGGCCGCATCTAGGTGAGCTTAGAGCTTTCTGGAGTAGGTTTGGGGATGAGCTCATAGCCAGGGTCTCAGGGCATGGGAGGTTTGCTTATGACTTATGATTTGTCTCAATTCCTGCTCGCCTGCACGCAAGCACGAACACAAAGAAAAGAGAGCCTCTTGAGCCCATAAGCTCAAGCAGTCAAAGCCGTAGAATCTCGGGGTATATGGGTTTCAGAGTTTCTCAAAAGCCCTACGTAGACAGGTACGGCTTTGATGTCGTTCAGAAGTTCCTGGCGGGCTGCCGGGCCATGGACCTGCACTTCCGGGACGCACCGTTAGACAAGACGCCTGGGCTCAGGGCTGTTGATGCTTGTGAGGCTCCTCTATGCTCCAAGCCTGTTCTATTCCTGAAAAGTTACTACTATGGGGCCTATGGGTATATACCATAAAGATACGAAAATGTACGCAGGAGAGTTCCTTGCGACTCCCAAATTGCAGGGATCGCCATTTCGAGCTCTGGCCAAACTCGGATCCCAAACCGCCAATCCGAGGAACCTTCCGAGTATCCTTGGCTTACTTTCCGTTTGGAATGCCTCCTGCCTTGGCTACGAGGCTTTCCGGCTTGGTTGGGTTTAGGGCTTAGGGCTTAGGGTTTAGTTTAGGGTTTAGGGTTTAGGGTTTAGGGTTTAGGCTTGGTTGCTTTTTTGTTGGGGGGGGGGGGAAGGTAGGGTTGACGGCTGAGGCCTCTTAGTCCGGTTAGCAGAAGTCTTGCTATGAAATCGCGCTTCTCTTTCTTGGTAGCCGCAGCAGCAAAGAACCCTGCACCACCTCGGAAGTATGGGAACATCTGGGTTCTCCTTAGGAACTTTTTGCACTCAATGCCAACACAATCTCAAGGGATGGTTACATATTACCATATTTGTTTAGTCATGTGCCCGAGGGGCATATGGGGGTTTCCGAGAATAGGGGACCCTAATATAGCACCCTAAAAAGTAGGATCCTTATTATAAGGACCCCAAAATAAGGTACCCTAATTTTCGGAAACTCCCATATAGGTATGGGACTCTAATCGATGAGTGTCCTCCGAGAGGCGCTGCAGATCTCTGCTCTTCAAAACCCCCAATCGGAAGCCTTGATTAGCCGTGAACACTGAGACCCCACATTCTTGACCCGGGACGCAAACCCATGCTGAATATGGCCTTTGTGTTCAGGACTCTCGGGCTCAGGATTGTAGGGTTCAGGGTTCCGGGATTTAGTTTTAAGTCTTATAGGTTTAGGGGATGTCTACCCATAGGCCCCATAGTAGTTCCTTTTTGGGATTACCTTACAGGGTTCTAAATATGAACCCCAAAAAGGAACTACTATGGGGCCTATAAGTGGGTAGTTCTCTAAATTAGGGTCCCTTTTTGGGTCCCCAATATAGTACGGCACCCTTATAAAACGGACCCCAAAAGGGACCCTA